TTATGCACTTGAAACAGTGAGGCACAGTTGTTGGGCAGCACAAAAGTGCAATCTGATATTCCTGTGAGGGACAGTTGGTGCAGTGCACAACACAACACAGCTGTGCTTCTTTGAGGTGTTTACTAAGTGATCCAAAGAGTGACTTCAGCATAGGAAGGTTAAAGAAGTAATCTAATCTCTTTTTGAGACGTTTCATTACAGTATTCTGTCTACATGGGGTAGCTTTGTGAGAAATGACCACTTCAAAAGCACTGTTTTATTAAGGTGCATGTTTGTGTACAATTTAAATTGGTAGATTTAGGCCTTCAGATCCTGTGGATACAGGAAAATTGACTCATTGCTAATCATCATAAGTGACCATGGTCATTAGACTTTTAGTTTTTGAGACAATCATAACATCTTGATTACAGGAGAGGCAAACATCGCGTAGGAAACAATGCCATCTTTTTTCCTTGTTATCTTTACGTACTGTCAGCTTCCTTCTGCCTTGAGTCTTTCCCCCTCTTTGAGATCCCTTTTCAGATATCCAGTTTCTGTTTCTTTGGAGGGGGTTCCATCTCCATTGGTAAGGTTGAGCAGTTGTTACTGGTGTTTGAGGCTGATGCCACAGGGTCAGTGGACTCGTACTGTGACCTCTCTAGGCCTAGGAACTCCAGTGCATTCCCAGCCAGTAAAGCATCCTGTCATATACCAGTAACAAAAGCATGAATGTCACATCTGGCTCAACTGTTGGGTGATGATGAGAATTCACTTGATTCACTTTACTGGCATACACACATTTATACAAACTACAGGCAAACAATCCCTTTGGAACTGCAGACTTCACTTCTAATTGCCCGTACTTCGTTTACTGAGGATGCAATATGCACGAATATGCAATTCTGTGAGTAGTAGCAACGTTGCTTTGAACCCTTTAAAAATCTGTGATATTTGTACTTTGTTGAAGAGATGATAGGTTTAAAGCCCACCCCTTCCGTATCCCCAACACTTCTCATCATGTAATACTGTGATACATTTTGCATCATGATTTTCTTTGGTTCAAATATCTAGTTGCAGAGTCTTAAAAAGAAGGGAACTGCATTTCACTACAGTTACACCTAAGTTATATCATCAACAAACAAGATAAAGAATTGTAACTGCTTTCTGGGAGGTACCATATCTGCAGGTATTGTCTTCTGACTTTTACTTGAATATGTGCTTGTGTCATACTGTGTCACATTTACCTCACAAGAGAATGGTTTCTCACCTTGAGGTCTGGAGTGAACTCCTGGACAGATTCAATGAGTTTTCCTGGATGATGCTCACCAAGGGGGAATGGGTAGTCACTGCCAAGCATTACATGGTCCTGAAAATCAAATACAGAGACACCCATATGCATGAGAAGAAGCTGGGACAAGATAGAGTTCCAGCACCAAACTTCAGACCGCATAGAATTACGGCGTGTGGTCAGATATTGCCCTCTTTTTTCCCCATTTGCTTGAAATGTGTTTGAATGTGGAAGTAAAGTCATTATTCTACCGACAGCCAGTCTTGCATGCATTTCCACACTGTCTTAAAGTGTGTGGAATGAAATACAGTAAACTCTCAATAACTAAAACTGCAGGGGAACGGATAAAAAATTGGAGTTATCCAGATTTTGAGCAAACAGAAGTTCCTGAGTCTTGTCCACACATACACCCGTAGTGCATAAGTAACCCTACTTGCTCCCATGATGGCTACGTGGTGGACGTTATCAGTGGTTCTTTCCTTATATCCAGGAATAAAATTATTCTAAAAATGGGCTTTTCTCAGGTAAGATTTCTGTTCTATTGATAAATAAAATAAACCCCCAAACTGTGTACTTTTTTGTGACATTTCTTTCATTTCATTTTTTTCTTTCAGCGCACACTGCAGCGCCATGCACACAGCTACATTTGGGCCGCGATAGCAATCAGGCTTGCTTAAAAGCTGGGATTTATTTAGGCTAGAGGTGATGGTTGCGACAGTCAATTACAATGGCAGCAAGCATGCGTGTGTCCTCATGCAGAAAAGACAAAGTGTGCTTTGCAGAATGTTTCTTTTTTTACTAATTGTCAGTGACTTCGTGGCGGATTTTTGGATTAGTCCTATGAAAACTTTTAGTTAAGCATATGTACTGGTGTGGGTACTTTGAGATACAGTGGTACTTTTGTACATAGAAGCCTATTCTTCAGGCTAGAATGAAGAATGTCTTCAAGATAAGTGGAGTTTTGAGTTAACTGACTTTGATATTGCAAGTGTACTGTATGTAATGTTTAGCTTTTTGGGTATGGCAGTACATGTTACAGGGCAAGGTAACAGTGTATTCCTGGTAAGTACTGCAATAGTGTCTTCTTGGAGACTACTTACTGTACCCTTTGAATCTGCAAGTGACAGCTTACATGTGTATGTGCCTTTGCCACAGCAGATCAGAACCTGATAACACAAAGTAAAACTGCGTGTTTTGTCCCCTGGTAGTAGCGTTTTGTCTTATTTCACACAGTTTTTAGATAGCTGTGAAGTGACAGAACACAAATACTGTCTGGCTGTAGGTGTTGCTGCATGATAACAGCTACAGTGTCAAACAGGGCTTTAAACAATCTATATAAGCTTATACCTTTCAGGTCAGGTTACATACCGGTACATGTATCTGTGCATGCTATACCATTTTCTTCTATTTACAATATTTACAATGTTACCAAATTGACAAAATTACAATTTGAACTTAAGCCTGCAATGAACAGTGGATCACAACTTAAAAACACCCTCTACCTTATGTTGGTGGTTTCTCAGTCTTTGTTCAACAAATACCAGTCAAAAGGAAACAGCATCCAAGTGTGGCCAGTGAAAACACACAGCAATATTGCCAACCGCAGAAGTAACAGCTGCTACCACTCAGACAGTGCAAGGCAAAGGCAACCAAGATAGAAATTGACAAAATTTATGATGGAAAGAGCAAAACAGACAACTCAAACCAGATGTCATTCCCCATCCTCTCTTTACAATTCTGATTACCTTGCCCATTGTAGCGACAAGAAACTGGAGTGCCTTCTCATCATGAACCAGGGAGTCTGTGTAGATGCGACCGATGTATTTGCGTGGGTTGACGGTATTCTCAACGGCACAGAGATCTGGGCGGACGTTGAAGCCATGCTCAATGCGGCCAATGGTATATGGGAAAGCACCACCTACATGTACATGTAGGAAAAAAATAGCCACAGATAAAGTGTTTGGTATATTTTGAAAGGTTGACATCAGTCATACAGGTAGCAAGTTTTTGCATCAAGCAGGAAGAGACAATGGGCTGGCACTGATACTGTACATCAACACGTACTCAACCATGTAACACACCTTTTATAAAGTGGCAGTAGCAAGCCTTGAACATTTAAGGCACTGAGTTGGTGTGCATTTTGTATACATGAAGTGATGCCATGAAATCAATGTTGGAACAAATGTTAGTACCAATACCTGCTACAAAAGCCAAGACATCTACAGGTCCCGGTACACTGGTACATGAACTGACTTAAGTTAAGCATGTGGTTATTTTTTTTTCATCAGCTCTTACAAAGAAGTGAGATAATTATGGTTATAACAAAACAACATGCAACAACTTATAGCGGACACTGTCAGTATTCTCTGAGTTTTGACTTGGTGGGGAAACGATAAAATATTGACATGGGGTGGGAGGAGAAGCCTTAGCATGAAGTTCAGGACCCTTACAGACCTAAGGACCCCCCGCCCCCATTTTGGCACACAGATCTGGTATATTTCTGTGCATCTTGGGGAAGATCAACTTCTTCTCCATAACAATTTGAAGTAATTTTTTGACATCAATAAACTGCTTTTTTCATCAAGGTATTGAGTAAGATGAAATATTCCAGAATGTAAATGCAACATCCAAAATGTTTAACTTGGCAGCCAGATTTTAAACATGGTGGTTATTCATCCTTGAAGTAATGGTGGCTATTGTTTAAACATAGTGGAGGCAAGCAAACAATGTGAAACCTGCACTGCATCTGAATGGATGTGTACGGTGGGAAAGCAGTGTAAAGAATTTTCACTGAAATATTAACATGCTGAGTCAGACTTACAGTTATCTAAACCACTTCCTGCCGGGGACTCCGGATCTGGAAATGTATGCTTTATATGTGTGGCCGGGTCTCCAAACTCAGACAAAGGGAACAGGGCCTTGTAACAAAAGACCGTACTCGGAACAAAAGACCAGGCTGCTGGGCATTACCAACATTTTTTCACTCTCAAAAGTGGAGATAATCCTGCCTTGTTTTGAAACAGTATACCACAGTTTGGGGCATTGAGAGCTAGCGGATTACACTGGGGACAAGCGCTCCACCACNTGGCTCTTTTTACAAGGCTGCAGGCCTGGCTGAAATACTCAGGCATCAATAGATTTTGTCTGTCTGGCTAGAGTGGACACCAGACATGCCTTCACGTGTTTGTAAGTGTCCAATAAATGAAGATAAGAATTTTTAAAGAATTTTGAAAACAGAAAGAAAATGATAAATATTCAGCCCAGCATCATCAACGTTGATAAATGCCCCAGCAGGAAGTGGTTAATACTTTCCTCTTAATTTCTAAATATCTTGCAGTACTCCCAAAGTAAATGCAGCATATTTAATAGCCCAATGTAAATGTTGCACCTACCTCCATGTGCAAAGCAGACTTTGAGCTTTGGGAAATGTTCCAAGACTCCTCCAAAGATCATAGAGCACATTGCTGTAGCTGTTTCTGCTGGCATACCGACTAGCCAAGGTAGCCAATACTTAGACATGCGACCACCAAGCTCCATGTCCCAAGGATGCACAAAAATTGCACAGTCATACTCCTCTGCAGCCTACACAAAACCACAAAGAGTGCATGTATGCCTATGACGGTCTGAAACTATGGGCTCAATACTTGAACAGGAGAGGGCACTTTCTTACCAAATAATAGCATTCTCTGGGGATGACAACCGGCAGGTGTGCACTCTTTCACACAGACATGTACATATACCGGTACGTGTACCTATACATGTACATGTATGTTGTAATATCCACATCCATACACACGATCTGAACATGTATCACTCATGATGTCTTTGTGTGAGTACCCCACTGAAGTTGGTGTTCAAGTGTTAGCCAAGATTACTTCGCAGTGATCAAGGGGAACCTAGAGCCTTTCATAACATGCACTAAAGTCAGCATACTGTACCATGCAGGGATGCCGGGGGTTGTAAGTCCACACCAAAAAATTATGAAATTGGGTAAGCATGTACAGGAAAATACGGGTAAAATAGGTGTGCACCAGATCTGACTAATATCAGTTGCACATAATGAGCACCTACAGGTTTCCTGGCCCCTTCTTTTCATGAACAGAAACTGTGCTGTTGAATGACTCAAGCTTTTATTTTGCTTGCAAAAGAGTAAACACGTGTGGCTTTGTTGTAAGCCTAGCGATGGCTTCCTGGCAAAAGGATGTATATGGTAGCACATTGCTTTCAATCGATATTACGTTATGTAACGTTAACACAAAACAAACATCCGATCGCTGTTTTTTATTCTAGCCAGTGAGAGGGAAACTCATTTTTCACTCTTTCAGTAATTAATTTTACATTTTCTGCACTTTCAACTTCCATTTTGACATACATTCAACTCCCGTTATTACGAGGGCCGGCGGACTTTCACAATTCTGTCGTTATAGCCGGAGCGTCGTTAAAACCGGAGCGCAATTTTTCAAACTCATTTTGAACAAGTTTATAGCCACGTATATGTCTGTTGTAATCATGTACAGGTACAACGATACCGCACGCCAAACACATGCAAAGCCAATGTTATGTGTCTCTTATTGAAGCTAAATTTTTATCTAATGTTGATGAATAAAATGATATCAATAAAGTACATTTTAATGTCAAATATTTGACAACCTGGATCAGAAGAAGCCGAGAAGAACAGCCGAGTGAGAAGAAACATTCAAGTCCGTGCCGCTAAGTACATGTACGTCACACATCCTGAGTGTACGTTTTGCTTTCGTCATGAATTGGCTAAAACCAGTCAAAAGAGGGCGTCACTATTACCAGTATGTCCGGAGTTTTCGTTGAGATGTAGATGAGATTATTTTTCTAGTGGAATTTTTCTTTTATACATGCAAATAATAGCTTCGGATTATGTTGATGCTTTTTGTAGGGCATATTTTCCTGCACCTGTTTTAAGGGGGATGCGTTTCACATTAGATTTGCATTTAACAAAATGGGACAAGAGAGGGCGCAATGTCATTGATTAAAGATTGGTGAGATGAAACAATATTACGTTTAAGTTCTTACAAAGGTGCATTGATAAGGTCTTGACAGACTGGGAAAACGTACGATGCCCGAATCGGGACAAAAGATTTGTCGTTGACAGCTGCAGATAATACGGTTTGGGAAAGTCACTGTAAATGGGTTGAGAACAATACTTTTGCTGGCATGGGGTCGGCACAAATCGTCGTTGTAGGCGGAGTCTCGCAATATTCGTGCACGTAATAACCAAATATTTCTCCATAGCAATGAACACAAATTGTTCGGGACTGGGAGAATATGCTCCTTGCATCCGGGTTATCGTTATGACCGAGCTCGTTATAACGGGAGTCAACTGTATTAAGAAGTCAAACTTAATGCAATGTTCAACTGTGACACAAAACAATGCCCGCATTGTGTTATTCCATAATATGAGCATAGTGCAGGCACATGCTAGCGAAACTACTTCAAGCACAAGCATATCTGGTTCCCTACTTCAGTTATCTACAGTGAAGATGAACTGCATGGGAACCAATGAAGTCAGCTCCTCACAAATTGGATTTCCACACACCAAACTACTCATACATGTACAGTGCCCCACAGTATGTGTAAATCAAACTCACTTTCATGTGTACCATAGCACATGGAAACTGGAAAGTGCTGTAAGTGCTAGATTCAGTATTAGAGTTCCTGTGTTCAAAATATTGATGTTCCACTCCACAAATGCCGAAGGCAAGAGGTTTCCCCCAAAAAACATTAAAAATCTAGAATTATTGCAATTGCCAGAGGTACGAGTACATGTATGGTCTTAAGCATGACCTTAAGGTAGCAATAGAGAAGTGCTCTTGGTTTATGTACAGTTATCATGATTTATCAGTAACCATGCAAGTATTTGATACCATACTACAGTGCTAGTGTTGGTTACACCCAGAATTTATTGTGTTTGATGGTCCCTGCAGTACTCCACTATAAATGCTGTTCCTTGCATTATTGCAACCTAAATTCACCGGACAATGATGAATACAAAAGAAAATAGGCTGTGTTTTTTTTAATGTTTGTTGCTTACTGCAAAGACTTGCTGTAATTCTGGTGCATCCAAGTTCCAATCGTTGATATGGGAGCCAATCTGCACGCCAGGGAAGCCAAGCTCCTGCAAAGAAGATCAATGACTACATGTACCAATGACATCAATAATACCTTCACAGTTCCTAAATCTGTTAGCTTGAACTTGTTGTCATTGTGAAAGCAGCCTTTCTCCATAATCTGTTACTAAAATATTTACATGTGAGTATGTTAAAAATACTCTAAAGGTGGACAGACGTATAACCTACACATTGGAAATTAAATTCTTTTGAAAATGCAATTATTAAAATCAAAAAGATCTAGTGAAACAACAAGCTAAATGCTTAAGGAACCAGCTGTGGAGTGAACAAAGCACAAGACATGATACCTCCCGACATCTCCTTAACTCTTGGACAGCCAGTTCTGGTGCCTGCATGGGGAGAGTGCCTAGGCCCACAAAGCGCTTGGGGTATTTCTGGACAGTCTTGGCCAAGTCATCATTCAGAATGTGACAGAGATCCAGAGTGTCTTCAGGCTTAGCCCAGTAGCTGAACATCACCGGGACTGTGGACAGCGCCTGCACTGTTACACCTTCATGTAACGTTTAGAATTTTCACAAAGAAAGATTCAAATTCTTTCAGTAGTCATGGATTAGGTCAATGGGTATGATGGATGGTGGGGGCAGAGAACATAATGACATGAACATCTTTGAAAGAATTAACTTCACTGCCAGTCAGCAGAAAATGGATGGAGACAATCAGCTTTGTGGACATTGCTGGCAAAGAAGACAGAGGCTTGTGGGTGGTCATTTCAAAGGGTGCCCTGTGCCCCTGTCTCAACAGTAAATTCAAATGGAAACTGGTTGCATGTGCTCCATGCTATAAAAAAAACAACTTCATTTCACTTCATTTCCATTTACAGTAATATAAAGAGATAAAGATGGTACACATTAAGTTGATAGATGGAGACCCAAGAAGCATAGCTTATCAACTAGAGGCCCCACAGACACTTATAACAATAATACTACTGTATATGGAAACTACCAGTGCAGACAAACATATTACAAATTAACTAGAACTAAAGAAACTTGCATGCCTCTCAAGTAGAGCTACACGTACATGTACATCACTGTATGAAATGAAAAGTAAATCCTACAGTGCATGTACAAAAAGATGCTATTTGAAAATAAAAAACATTAACAATAAATAAATGGATAAAAAATAAATAAATAAATAACAATAAATTCCAAATACATGTATGTGGTAAGATGAACAGCTTTTAATTTCTTTGTTTTTAAGTCTGAGGAAAAATGTTTGAAAAAAATTAGTTTGTCTAAAAAGTTAGATCCATCACCTGACACTCATGGCTGAAATTAGCAATGGTGAAAGAAATTAGTTTGTCTAAAAAGTTAGATCCATCACCTGACACTCATGGCTGAAATTAGCAATGGTGAAAGGAATTCAGCAACAATTCCCTTTTTTTGTGTACAGTTAGTACCTGTGGCATCCATTTCCCGTAATCTTTCTTCAGGCTTGTAACAGTTGTCCTCAATGATGCGGAACAGTTTACCATCTCTCATCATGCGTGACTTGCCCTCACAGTGAGGGTACATCTGGATCCAACCACCATAGCCATATCGCTGCCACAGAAAATGAGACCTTCTGTTAACAAGGTTTCATTGAAAGAGACAAATCTGACCACAGATTTTTTTTTAATTTTTGTAAGCAAGGTTACAGGCTTTTGAGAAAAATACATAAAATATCAAGGGGGAAGGGAAAAGGGACAGCCAGGGAATTACATCGAAAGCTCGGCAATCTCTGAAGAAGGTACTCAGTTACCAGAAGCTCGGCAGTCACATATTTCAGAGCACTGATTTTATATTATATTCTTGTCAATATTCTGATCACGGTGCTACGCAGCCCTTTTATGTTTCTCTGCACATACATGTACATGTATTTCAGCATTACTCAATCACAACTGTTTTGGAACTGTCATGACTGTTTGTCTAACTCTATGAACAAAATGCAAAAGAAACTACATCCATTCATGAAAATCCTCCAGTGTTTTCCACTGGAACCTTTTGAATCTGACCAAATCCAAACCTGTAAAGAAAACTGGACCATGGCATACAGTGCCAAGTACAAGTAATAGTTGTAAGCTCAACACAACTGAATCCATTAGTTGTAGATTCTGTATGTTGGGATTCAGTCTAAAGTAACAATCATCAGCCATTCCAATTTTATAAGACTCCAAAGTGCTACAGTACAATTTGAATGCCATTGCAGTTGGTGAAGATACAATTTAGTTTTTGGGTTTTTTTTGGGGGGGGGCGAGGAGGCGGAGCATTTTCTTAACATCACAGGGCCTTGAAGTACATGTACTGTACATGTAGCTGAAGATTGCATGTACATGGCACAGCAGAAAACCTAGAATACTTCCGTTTCCCTGAAAGAACTCACCTCTTTAAGGTCTGGCCATCTCTCAGGAAGAATGTGATTATGGATATCAATTTTCATTCTCCAGTCAGCTATGGTGTGCCGAGTTACAAGTTCTGATGGGTGCAGCTACACCAAATTTGTTTGCCTATTTAATTACAGTAGAATGTGACTTGCTGTTGTCTTCCGGTATGCAGTACAGTCTGTTGTTGGTATTTTCTGCTTTTCAGGGTCTCAGAAAGTTTGAATTGATGTAACTGTGTACATTGTACTTTACTTTGGACACTCAAGTGTCTGCACATGCAGGGTTACTGTCAAGAAAAACAAAAGAAAAAGAATTCAAGTTCCCTGCACTGCAAAGAAAGTTCACTGCATTGCTAAGCCACAGTCTGATGTGTCTGTGGTACAATATCATTCTGGTACATGTATAGAAAAGAAATCTACTTAGGCAGACTTGATCTCCAAGAAATCTGAGAACAGATGGACCATAAACAGGATAGTACAGGTATGTGGGATATATGTGGACTGTGCAACAATTTGGTGCTTTATATACATGTACATTGTAGATGTGTACCTGAAGTACTGTAATCTAAAAACGTATAAGAAGTTACAAAAATGTACCACACACCAACTACATGTACATTGTAAATGCTGTGGTGGGACAAAGTCAGTAATTCCAAATCCAACTGCCAGAATTTCAGAAAAATCAAACACGTCTGATCATCTGATTTCTGCAAAAACAATGCACAGGAAGCACTGACATCAGCAAAAGTCCACACTTTCCTCATGTTTGTGTTCATGTAAAACTTGCAGCTAAACTTCTCTATTATGTAATCATTTGCAGACATTATTAAAGTGAACTTGTTCCAGGTGCAGTACATGTGTTTTTACATGTACATGTATTTTGATGAATATACATGTACATGTACCAATTTCTCCCACATGAGTTGAGACTGGGTTGAGCAAAAGGCAAAAGTGTCTTTTTCCCTTGCGACAGACTCTTCATTCTTTTTTTTTCTGTCAGATTTTTGGTTTCACAACTCAGAAAATGAATAGTACAAGTCCACTGTCAAAACTAAATAAAAACAAAAACCAACTGGATTCAAGTTCCACTCCTAACTGCAACATGCATAGAATTGTACATGTACAGGTGTGCATTTGTGTAAAACACCATAAGTAGGCCAGGAAAGTGTGTGAAATATGCCCTCCAGCCTCTACGAGGTATGTACATGTACACTAATACATGTACAAAGTACATATACATAATGTACATGCGCCTTCACAAAACATTCCATTCGCCATTTTGAACAAACTATATTCATGAACAGTTGTACATACACTGACTCAAGACAACATATACCGGTACGAACAGGGCGTCAATGTCTGCTATACGCTACATGTACAAATGTACATGGAGCTGGCCACTTTTTGTAAGGTGCACAAATTTACCTTAAAGCACTGCCAAGCCTTGTTTTGGTTTGTGAAGACTACAAAAAGGTGACGAAAAACGTGCATTTTTTGTTGAAAATCCCCCAAAACATATAAGGAGTTGATGAAACATACATGTACATGTATATGAAATGGTGTTTACTTGGAAGCTTGGAATTTAAGGAAGAAAAGGAAGTTGTTTTTGTCCAAAAACGATTTCAAACTGGTGCCGAACAGCCCTTTTGTATTAGGGTACTGTCACGCAGCTGTGCACATACTGTATGGTGTATGCATGTGCATCAGATTGACGCATGGTGAACGGGGAGTAAGATGCAAATAACAAGCGCATAAACCGCATGTGTTGTTTCAATGAAACGTTACCAAAAGACCCTGTCAAAAATGAACTGACTTAAAGGAACTTACGACATCTGACAGACTTGGTCCCCTATTTTATAGCTATTTATTGATGACAAAATATCATATCAAATCTATACTTCAGTGACCTTTCACACATCCCTAAACATTTCAAGCCCAACTCAAACGACCTGTTACTGTATACATGTACATGTATCCTATGTTTATTATTGATAAAGTTCTCCATAATAAAAGATATTGTTTACTTTACACTTCTTCTGTGACTTAACTACAGATCTTTGTCCAACTCTGCCATGCCTGGAAGTGGAACCGATGAGGAACAAGACTTCATGTGGTTCAAATACATTGATGAAAATAACATTTGTGTCCACCCCCAAAAAGAGATGGACTAATTACACCTAATTTCAACAACCAAAAAATTTGTAACTTCACTATACTTACAGCTATTGAGCTAAACTTTATACCATTTAATTTCTTTTAAAATTTTCTTTCCAATGGTACTAAATTTGTGGGGGTCAAACAAAAAGCTGAAAAGTGCCAGACTCCCTAACTCAGCTATGTCAGCAATGTTGGATTTATCAAAAAACCTCCATCCAGGTCCAGACTACATTTGCTAATTTGTCGTCGTTCACAGCTCTTCGGGTCAGTCATGTATGCTGCCGTTTTAGATTACTTCGAGAACTTGAAGTCACTAACTGCGTGATACTCCATAGTATCATGGAGTTGACTTCGATACCCCGTAGTATCACGGAATTAATGACTTCGAGTTCTCAAAGTAGGACCCACTACCGTTTTACCCCTAAATTTTCCTCAAAAACCAAAAGCTTTGTTCCCTCTTTTTTTCTGATATGAAAGAGGATATCACCAACAACTTGTTTAGATAAAGAAAAAAAAGAAAAATTTATTCCCTTATTATGATTATTATAATTTCTAGGAAAAGGGTGCTGAAGGCATGAACGGTAATGAACACCATGTAATTGGCCTGAAGTCAGATGGACAATGACGGAGTAGAATATGACCATCATTAGCCCCACTAGTGTGGCACGGACTCTCACTCCCGATCCATCCTTCGCCACACATCCGTATACGCAATTTCGTGTCGGCGTATTGAACATTTCGGCAATACCTTGTTATTGAGGTATTTTCCAGTCTTTTTGCCTTTATCCATTTAATCTAATGGGCTCGCTCTCACAGTCGCCATCTTTAAAATAAGGTCGTTGAAGATTACGTCACTTGACCCCTCATCGTCTCGACGGCTGTTCCATGTCAAGACATCTAAACTGCTGCCAAAGTTTTGTAAGAGCCCATTGGTACATATAGTATCTTATCGCTCAGTCCGTTTATAAGACCCCATTGGTACAAGTAGAATCTTATCGCTCAGTCCGTTTATTACATATGTCTTGACATGGAACAGCCGTCGAGACAACGACGGGTCAAGTGACGTATTGTTCAACGATCTTATTTTAAAGATGGCAACTGAGAAAGCGAGCCTGTTAGATTAAAGGCAAAAAGACTGGAAAATACCTCAATAACGCGAGTGAAATCATTCAATAAATGGTTTTTAGAAAGCAGAAAGGTCAAGGATCATGTCCGTGAGCAAAAGAAATTGCGCCCACGATGATAAGTGGGTGCGCCGAAATGTTCAATACACCGACACGAAATTGTGTATACGGATGTGTAGCTAAGGATGGATCAGGAGTGAGGGTCCGTGCCACATCACACTAGTGGGGCTAGACCATCATCAGATCATCAAATGACCGAGTCTGAAAATGTGGCATTAACATGGCTTTAAAATGTTTAATAATATTACTATACTACTTACACATGTTACCATAGTTCTTCAGTCGATCAGCGTGGCAGTCGCTCGAGTTCTGGTAGGCTACATGCACATTAGTTCTACTTTCTATGTAGTAGAAAGCTGTACATGTACTATCTCTGTAATGTAATTAATGAACAATTGTGCATAATATCGATGGAGTTCGAGTACGTGTTGACGTTGCGTGACGTCATGAGTTCTTTTCTTGTCGATAAAATGGCGCCGGCGCGACATGACTAAGACTACGACCAGAGAAATATGAAAGGGCTGCATAGCACCGTGATCAGAAAAATTATCAACAAAAATATATACAGTCAGTGCTCTTAATTTATCTGATCTTATTGGCAATAAGATGAATTAAGAGCACTGACTGTATATGTTTTTGTCAATATGATGACTATATAAGACCACTGACCTTCAGGTTGCACCCTGTTCAAAACAGCTAGTGACTACGACTACGTCTAAGCGACCGTGTCATGCGTTTGTGGGGCAACCTCGTTTCCATGGGTACGATCTTGCCGCGCAATGTTGGTTCCCACCATGCCTTGCGCGATCTGAAGGAACGCGCACTCAGCCCATGGGGATCGAGGTTGGCATCGTATGTCGCCTCCATTTATAAACACGCGACTCGACGTACGTACGAACGCGTTACGGTTGCACTACACCAAATAGGCGCCCATAGAAAACAGTGCAACATCGGACCGAAATAGCGCCGCCTGTTGACTCTCGTGAAGAGGTTGGCCTCAGCGTTTTCACTGGAATTTCAGATTATGGCCAGAAGACCACTTTTAGTTTCAATTTCATGGGGGTTAGCCACGAAAATTATTTTACTCGCCTTTCAAGGAAGAAAGCCCCATTACAGCAGTAAAACTCAGCGCTCATTTCTGAATGTAGCCACCCGCCTCTATCCAAAACAGGCCCGCAATTTGGGGCTTTTTGTGAAAGAAATACCCCGAACTGGAAACTATCAGCCCCAAATTCAGGATTTTATTTCCATGATCCCTCCTGATTATGGTATGGCATGTCTTATTGTAAAAACACGGTGGGATCACAAAATATTTATGAGCTCGCGCGCAGAAATATGACCATTTGGTGGAATGCATCCTTTAGCGATCTAATCCCAGGTATTGTATGTTTTAAATATCCCACTGTCGGTGCGTTCGATTAGCTTCCCTGAATACACCAGTGTTACACCAAGGGATGCCTCGAAATGAGGCCAAGGTATTCTGGAAAAAAGGTTAAGCCCCCGCTACGTTCTACCACGTACGTCCGTGCTCGAACAGTCCATCCATGACGTCATTACAATCGGGTAGCCTCCACAGACCCGCTCGCCAGCCGGCCGGGGTAGTCAGGTGGCTGACACCAGGGCAGGCCGAACGACTAGATCACGTGATGGCTAAATGATGGCTCTGTGTAAGTTTGACTTACACGAGTAAACTAATCGAACGCACCCAATTTGGGCTATTTAAATTAGGCCTTCGATTAGCTTACACGTGTAAGTCAAACTTACACGAGAGCGTTCGTTTAGCCATCACTTGATGTTCGTGCCTGCCATGGTGTCAGCCACCACTACCCCAGCTGGCGAGCAGGTTTCTGGAGGCTGCCCGAGTGTAATGACGTCACGGATGGATTGTTCGAGCATGGACGTACATGATGAACGAGGCGGGGACTTGACCTTTTTCCCAGGATGCCTTGGAAAACACTCTGCAGCGTTCGATAAGCCTCATTTTGAGGCTTCCCTTGAGTGTAACACTGGTGTGTTCAGGGAAGCTAATCGAACGCACCCACTGTCAGTGTGTTTACGCGCGACACAGATTTGTACGTGCGTGAAGCAGGAGAATACGTGTATCTTTTGAAATACGCGTGCGATTCATTTTACGTTTATGTATATAGTTTAATTCGACCAGCAGAATTAGAAGCCATAACTGCAGTGGCACAACGCTCGTGGACAGGTGGTACGCAGGCGTATACATGCCTCTTCGACCAACAGAGTGTCGTGATTTGCCAAATGCACGTCAAGCTGAAGAATGGGTGTTTGAGTGCGGTGCCACCGCAGTTAGGCGTCTAATCAGATTAGTCTATATTCATCCTGAATAGCCAGTCAGTGTCATTTTTGCATTCTGCACGCCCCCCCCCATCACACACGCAGCCCGTAGAGTCGAGGTTGTCTCCTCGCTCACTTTAGAGTAAATGAAATACGTCACGACGATTGACCTCTATCAAGTTCGTTAGTGACTTCGTCACAAAGGCGGACGCGCAACGATATGCAGGCTCCCATTGGGCGATTGCTGAAATTGTGCGTTAACTTCCGGTTCCATGTAAGCGATGATCAATACATGTAACTCTAGGTGCAGTGCATGTGCAGTGGGCGTGGTTTAAACTGAAGTAATGTCACACTCACGAACCGGATGGAGATCAATGTGCACGGCAGTGAGACTGGGTCATTGATCTCCATTATCTGCTCCGAGCGGAACAAAAGAGGGCGTGATTTTTTGGTACTTACCGCACAAGTGCGCCGTGAGGCGCGCAAGTTTAATGTGTGTTTGACGCGGAGCACGCTGAGTACGTGTAGCTAATTTCCTCCGGCATGTATGGTCTTTGCGAACACGCAGAACGCGTTCAAGAACCCGTTTGCAACCACCTGTCTTTCTTTTCGCCGATTGGGGGTGCACTTCAGCTCGGGGCGGATAATGGAAATCAATGGACCCGGTGTCTGTTGGCGCACACTGCGCAAGTGTTCCGCGAAGAGGTCACCAAGGCGACGCTTGCAAAGTCTCTCTGATGTACAAAAAAGTAGCCATTCACAGTGCAAAGCCTATGGCGTGCAAAGTAAACATTTAATCACGAAATAAAGATATCTTGGAGACATGTAAAGCAAACCTTTAATAGTGAAACAGAGATCTCTTTATTTCCATGGAGATTATCTATATTACAAATAGAGATATCTCTATTTCGTTTCCACTTCTGGAGATTGGGGTAGTGTGATTGTGGTTTGAAAACCTGGTCACTTAGAGAACCCTGGAGCGCCCCTCAACTACGTTAAACGCAGAGCTAATAGTCCGCCCATTCCTACTACAATTCCAGCTCACAAATGCGTGTCATTTCCACTGCATACCGCTACCGAGTAAGGCCCTGGCTTTCTGCATTTCGGTGTATAAATTCATTCCAATTACCCTAGATTTTAGAGGGCATCCAAAACAGGAAACAAAATTGAGATATCTCTATTAGTAGTAGAGATTAGAATAGAGATACATGTATCTCTATTAGAAATAGTTCATCTCTATTGGAAGCAGATTATAATCGCTAATAGATATCTCCATTACGACACACATGTCTGCCTCTCTCTAGCCTCTTCCAAGGAGACGCAACTACACGACGCGACGGCACGACGCAACAGTTCTTGCCATTACGTTTGTACACACACGACGCGTCGAGTTGTGCGTCACGTCGTGCCGTCGCCCGTTGCGTCGTGCTGTCTTTAAGACACCCTTTTCTTATTGTTGCATGTTTTGCCTAAACGTCGCTATTCCTGTCGCCTGTGGCGTTGCACTGTCGTCCCTCGCGTCGTATGTCGTGTCGCACGTCGCGGGGACGACAAGACGTACAACGCGACGCGTAGTGTGCTGTCGTCCTTTGCTTCATGGTGTTTACATGGGGAGCCTTTACTGTTTTCTTTATTTCCGTTCCCCGCGCTTGCAAATACGCACCTAAGCCACAGGCCTTGATTTTTCTTGTTTGTGTTTCATCCATTATTAACCTTTAAATAATTTCTGTCATATTTTATTGAAAAAAATTGAAAAAAAAATCAAATAGAAAATTAGCGTATGTAGGAACAGCTCTCACATAATAACCGTAAGACCAGAATTCGTCACTCTTTATAGTGGTATTAAAAAGGCTTCAAATATTTCGACATCGAGGGTTTTGGAGGTAGATTGGCCACCTAGAATCCAGTATACAATGGATTTATCTCCTGAAAATCAACACGAAAGAAATAAGAGACGATTTTCTTTCCACAACCAACTGGGCCGATTTCGGAAACACGCGGGGTCAAATTTTGTGTTTACGTTGGGTTGATGACGTCATGGGGAGAAAGTCACTGCACAGCAGCCATGCATGATGCATGCATAAATAAACATGTAAGCTGGCATCGATGTGACCCCGGAATGCATCAACATGAGTTTTAATGACGTGGAGAAATGCAAAATATTTTACATTATCTCCAAGATGTATAAACTTAAATCTTACTCTTATTAGCTGGTCAAAATAATTGTGAGATTTGTTCTGAAATGATGGAGTGCGAGACATTGAACGTGGAGAATGCCCTATAATAAGGCGGGCAGTGTAGGAGTCAGTACCCAGACCGGAATCTTTGCTGAATCGCGTTCTACATGTACCTTGTAATGTGCAGCTCAAGTCTTTATGCGGGCTTGTTTGTTGCTAAGCTTACAATGTTCAGTGTGTCGAAGGAAAAGAGATGAACACATAGGATTGTTCTTGTGATTCAGTCCCTACGAAAGTAACCATTTACTCGCCGATAAATGAGGACGACGGCAAGCAACCAGGCAGTGTTGCGGGGCTCAGTACTGTGGCGGACCCAAACGCAAACCTGGCGGTGGACCAGCAGCACAGCACCGTATACATACACCGTACCGGCAGATCCATGCAATACAACACAAGCAGTCGGCGAGGCCTATGCGTCGCTTTTCTCAGTTCGGCGTGAGTTTGGAAATACTGGATATTTGTCGAAGCAGTCCTCAAAAATCCTTGGCACAGTATTTCCCATTTGCAGCAACTGAAAAGGTTCAAAATCTACCCTAAATGCGCTGCTTTCCAGGAACAATCGATTCAACACGGTTTTGCACGGAAACGTTGATACCAAGTCTCAGTGTACGAGATTCCTGTCCGAAACTACAAACTGCACAAGGTATGTTTTATGACAAAAATACATGCACTCAAACTTGATGAATGGAACGATTAATCAATACAGTATATAAGAACCGCGCAAAAAAATTACATTATGAGCTTGCCACTACAACGAAAGGTCCATCCCGGCAGTTTCCAAGCGGTCCTTCATTCTTCCTTCAGTCTTTCCCGTTTAATCAGCACCACATTTTCAATTATAGTAGTCCGTATTTCTGAATAAAACACTGTAGACTCTGTTATCATTATGACGGTGTCTTTTCTTCAACTCTCTTTGACCACGCAAATATCTCGTCAGATCCACGTGTTATATTAGCAAGCACGTAATAATGATTTATGTATTGTATCTTAATTAAAATGGATTTACAATAATTATTAGAAAGATCATAATTACAGCAGGAAAAGCTAAAGCACTGTTGTGGCTGACGTTAATGTTACTTATTTCTGGGAGACATAGTTCGACGCATGCGCAACGCACATTTTAACTACTTTTGAGTTAAAACCAATTTAAAGAAAACAAAAATAACAATAACAAAAACTCTTTTTAAACAACTTACTCTTAACGAAAACGCAAAATTAGAAGAAAACATGAAAAAGAACAACAAAAGAATCAAGGCCTGCTACCTGGAGCACGATTAATACACGGGGGGCGGAAATGAAAGAAAACAGTAAAGGCGCCCTCTACAAAAAACATGAAGCAAAGGGCGACAACACGCGTCGCAATTTTGCACGCTATAAAACATTGGTCGAGTTCGGGCGGCCTGTTCTTGACACGGGTTTCTTTCAACAAATCGTTATGTTCGTGAACATACGTACGGAACAAGCCGCCCGAACTCAGCCATTGATGTCTCTGTCCAAAGTTGAAGTGCACCCCAAGCGGCAAAGGAAAGACAGATGTTTGTAAGTTTTCCAAGCGGGTTCTTGCACGCGTTCTGGGCCCAATTTCATGGTGCTGCTTACAGCAGAATTCCGCGCTTACGATCTCCATTCTGCGCTAACCCTTTAAGCACAGAATCCTTAGTGGCGTTTATATGTCTGTGCTAACCACTGACATAAATAACCTTAATAAGTTATTGCTCTGTGTTGTGTTATTAATCTTAATGACGTTTTCCTTTGCCGCTTGTGGTGCACTTCAACTCTGGGCGGATATTTATGTCTTTGAGCGTATTCCTGTTTTCAGGAAGGTAAATAACGAACATTGCGAATTTGTTGCGTGACATAGTTTCAAACAAAGTTTTCAAAAACTGTTTGAGGTTTGGAAGAAGGAACAGCTTTTGACATGTAAGGCGCACTAACAGAAAGTTGCTGCATGCCTATTGTATTTTATAATGCTTGACTTCAAGCCTATATAAGAAATTTATGACAGTTTATTCAGCCTATCAGGCTTAGTGTAATGGACTTAACTATATTGAAGTTGGGACCGTCTGAAATATCACTTCTGGTTTCAGAAACTGAATGTTTTGTCGTTTGTTTTTCTCCAGATTTTACCAAAAGATTTCAAGAAAGCCATGATTTGTTTTTGTCAGATCTGCAGACACATTGAACCAAAACAGACGATGTGATGTAAGTGACAGAATTCTTCTTCAGGGTAAAGATGAAACTAAAGAGTTGACGATTCTGTTCAATGAAGTAACAAACAAGCAAAGTCAACGCAATGAAATAAACTTTGTCTAAATTATAAAATTATATTTGTTCTCAGTTAGCACTGACTTTTTCATTTCGGAAAGTAGTTGTTAAATGTAAGTCTTTGGTCAAGTTGTGAACTCAAGTTTTTTTAATCTGATTTATAAGTGTCTGTAGTAAGTATCTTAGTTTGGACATTCATTATAGCTGCGCTCATTCTCACACTTCAGTATGCCACATGTTGGTTTGAAAAAAAATATTCAATATATGAATAAATGCCAGTGCAAATTTTCTTGTGAGTGTGTAAAACTAAATTTAAGAATTAAACTAAATTTATTTCATTTTATTGATGAAGTTTTTCAGTGTTGGTTCATCGAAATCAGACAGAAAAGCAAGTGGACAGTTTGGACATCATATATTTACTGGCGGGTATTGCGAATTCTCAAATTTTTACACACTGAACAAATCACGACTGCACCGACGCAAAGTCAAGATATTGCTCAAGCAAGACCGCAGATATGGAAAACGAATAAAAAAAACGCACATACACAAAACAGGTTAATATCATCGATTTCGAGTGGGTTATTTTAATTAGAGAATGGTCAGTTAATTCCGTGATTCGGAAACGATATTCATATATATATATGTTTAGTTTTTGCTTGTTTTCGTGAGAGAGGTCGAGGGCTTAGCCTCCGTCCCATGAGAAAAAGGTTTTCTCCATAATTAATTTTGACTAAATACACAGTATAGGCATGACATTACTCTCCTGAAATGCAACGCGCCGCCATTGTTCGACCGCGCATTTTGTACACAACGTGCGATGTCCTACGTCCAGTCTTTACAATTAATGCCATAAAAGCCCTTTTCATCCTATCCCTGTTCATGTAATTTTTTCTAGGAGGGTTAGGAGTAAGTTTAATAAGGTGGGCATACCGTTGCGCTCGCGTTTTTCGTAGGAAGGTGGGGGGGGGGCAATTATAATAAACGGGGGGAAGAAGTTTTAAGGATAACATACAACAAAGTTTGCTCTCTCGGCCAGTTGCATGGTAGCTCAGAAGGGTGCTCGACTTGTAAGCGGCAACTTGGGATTCGAGCCTATATGTATGCAGTTATTTTTTCTGGGGGGATTAGTTGGTAAGAGGACGTTTTTATAATAGGAAAGTAAAGCCCGAAATTTACCTTCTAACTTAAGTCTCCGAGGCCGAGTTTGGGCGGCATGTTCCCATCTGTTCACGAACAGCTCGATTTGTTGTTTGTGGGTCGGCCGCTCGAACGCTGGGAACAAACAACCGGTTACCGCTGGTATAGTGACAAGCAACATGCAACATGGCGGCGTCCATGTAGGCTACGTTATTCGAGAGTTAATGTTTCGATGGGCTGAATTCTTTTCTGTATAAACAGGAACATTCATTTCTGTGTTACGGAAAATAATTAATGTTAATCTTGCAAAACTTCCCATTGTCTATGGATTTGGAAGCCATCTCTCTACTTTTTGCAGCTTTTCAAAAATCAAAATCTCGCGAGTTTTCCGTGTGTTCCTGTAAAACCCTGACGAAGAGGTGGTGTGTGATCCTGTTCCGAGAACAGTGTTTTTGAGTCGCGTTCCTGCCGTTCGAGCGTTCGAGAAACCCGTGTCAAGAACAGGCCGCCGAACTCGACCTAAGTGTTCACTAAATTGATCGAGCTTGCAGTTAACCACGCCCATACAAAAAATTACGCGACGAGCGACGGTCGCGCCCAGCACTCAGGTTGCATGTCTCCCAAATAATTAAAGGAAAATTCTCCACCAGGACGAGGTGCTTAAAAGTAGCCCTTACAGAGTCTGTGTGGGCCAAGAAATAGTGGAATTGTGTAAGTATGGCCCAGAATCATCTCTATAGATTCAGGGGCACCCATCTGGGGGCAAAGCAGACAAAAGTGAGATTGAAATTTGTCAGAAAGGTGAGGGATGTCATTTGAAAAATGGCTGCTGAGAAGACTTGGCAACATTCATTGTTTTGGAGGGGGGTGAGTTTGTGTTTGGCAGATGATTAAAAATTCATTGTTTAAAATCAAATGAAATCTGAAGGACCAAGCACCACATTGTTCTTTGTTTGAGAAGCCCCAGGGACTTCAGTTGCCTGCCATGGGGCCCCAAACTTCGTTGATTCTATACTGTTTTCAATGGAGATTGAATTCGTTCAGTGCACCCCTCAGTCTGAGCGAATCGAATGCAATGACTGCGCCCTCTATAGACAGGAAAGAGAGGGTAAGGTTGAACGGCAAAAAGTCCTGGGCAAAAAGTCGATGTTAGGTTACAGCGTGGCAATTTAATCATTTCTTTTGCAATGGCTCTTGCTATAAGTAAAGCTAGTGTGATAACCACAGACAACTTGTTCAAGATTCTGTTCTTCATGCAGTCAGCCGCCTTTATTGCCTTCATTATCAGTAAGTACGTTCTAAAAATTGTTTCTAATGCTTAACAGTCTCGATAGCAACCACAGTCATCAGGGTCCCATTTGGCAGGATTTGTCACTCTGTTTCACCGTTCCTTGTTGTGGCTCTCTGTGGATAGATGTTTAATACTTATGGAGAATTGAACACATCCAAACAGCGTGTATGCAGAACTTGTTCATTATTTATGAAACCGCACAGGGTCACGTTTTCTTGCACAAATTAATTATTGCATACGCGCAGAAATTAAGTTAAAAATTCTTCAGAAGTGATAAAGATAAAATAATTAAAAAACTTCTTTTACTCCTCTTGTTCACATAAGAGGTTGGTTGTTGGATGTTCTGTCTCATAAGTTATTCAGTTTTGTCATTTTTACAAGAGTATAATCCGTACACGATAGGGAGTTTTTTTTGAAACTTTGATGGTAATAACAGTCCATTTTTTTCTTAATATGCCAAAGGAGGGGCAACAGTTCAAGGGAAAGAGTATGCATACGCACGTGATGATGAAACTAGGGATTCAAAGACGGTTTGGGGGCTATTTACATTTCTATGCCTTCCAACATATGTGTAAATTCCCCAAAATCTAGCTGTTTAAATGTTACGTTTAGAAAGTCGCAATGTTATCGTCCCAATGGCCAAGAAAACTTCCCCCAATAGATTGTGGATTTACCCTTGAATTTGATTACAACAATACAAAAGAATATGGGCATGGACGGAACGGCGAAAATTTAGCTAAATGCACGACTCAAAAGCATTTTGAAGATGCTTGAGCGCAACGTGTGACCATAGTAATAGACCTCCGATTCGTGATTGTGCAATACCTACATAAATCTTCGTCACTTGATTGGTTAATTGTTGATCACGTCACTGAAGTATTCGTTTTATTCACGGTACTCGTTGAATAGAACTTCACTTGACTGGTTTTTGCCATTATTTCATCCCCAATAAAAATAAATTAATGGACGGGAACTATATTAATATTGTGCAAATCTGTTTTGCAAAATGAGGAACGTAAATACGAGCGGACCGTTTGTTCTAGCACACCATAAGAGGATTTATACATACATCATATAAAACAAATAATGAATGTTTCACTTTCGTACAATGACAAGAATAATTCATTTGAGAGATGAAATGTATCATTCCCTTATAATAGAGTGGAACATTTCATTACTCTATAGAGTACCGAAGTGTGACGTCATTTTGAACCAGAAAGTACAGTGCAAACGGATAGAATACGCGCCCTTGTTGGTTCACGCCCAGGTTCTCGAGCTAATTCCTTTCACACACTAGTTATGCGCGTGACATAGTCACTTCGGTACTTTAGCTCGCTGTGCGCGTCAGAATGGAAGAACAGTAATGAAGAGCGTCTTAACCACAGAGCTATGATACGGGCGATTCACAGTAGTGTGCCTCTAAGAGTTTGCAACGCGCAAAATCTGTCGACCCTTTCCAAACGCGCATTAGGTCGACAAATTTCGCGCATCGTGATTGGCCAAAGCGGCAAACTCTTGGAGGTGCACTATGGTGAATCGCAAATGTTACATTGAAACTTACAGCACTGACTCATTTTTGTGCACAAACAGTCATATTGAAAATTGAAATTTTTGTACGGCTTTTGTACGACTATTGGATATCTGCGTCTGTAATCTAGAGTGCGTACTCGTCGCGTGACCTGCTGAAGCAACGACCGCTATTGCCACTTTTCGCGTGTACATGTAGTGTTTGTTGACATGTTTTTAACGTGTGCGTTGACGTTTATTTCTCGAGTGTACCGGTATGCTGACATTTTTTTTGAGTGTCTGTTGACATGTATTTTCACGCGAATCTTGACTAATTTTTAACAATGGCGGTCATTCATTTTTCACCGGGTTGGCACATTTTTTTTGGCAATGTTGACATTTCTTTAGTGGGTTGGCATGTTTCTTACAATAATTATTGGCATAGGTCTTTCGGCAGACTTTACCATAGTTTTTACGCGAAATTACTTTTCACGGAGTTTGGGCAGATTCTTTTTCAACAAGGCTGACATTTATTTTTCACGAGAGTCTTGACTTTTTTTTAATGTTTGCATCCATTTTCATAGGTTGAATCGACAAACAATGTACTTCTTACAAAATTGGTACATGTTTTGACTGCGTTTGAAAATGATTTGAAAAATGCTGCCATTTTGTTTTAAAGTTGTGGAATATTTTGTAATGTGGATTGTTTCCGTGAATAAATTCTGCTTTGGCGTTCCATTATCTGTCGCCAATTATTTAAACATCGTCAGTGTAGCATGTCCTGTTTGGGGAAGTATAAAGTTTTCTGAGTAGGGATTGTCTCATTGAAATCTTGAGAAAAGACTGTTCCTGATAACATAACAAATTAGGTATGATTTGTGCTACAGTTACTCATGAAATTTTGTCTGCAATATGTGTCATCGTATGCCGTAACTTATTACTGAGGCCATGCTGGAACCAGGTTGTAGCATTAGAATCAAGTATGAATTCGCGCGAGGTTGCAAGCGACGAGGGTATTTTCTGATGGTCGAGTGGGTACATCTGGGGCGAACTAACGGGAAAGGGGCCAAAGGAAACTGGGGCTTTGCGATTTAAGTCTGAAAATCTTATATAATGTGGGGAAAATGCACATTGTGGGGAACTTGCACATCTAAGAAACTCTATCTAAACTGACCTTTGAATGGTAAAGTCGGGAGAAACTGACTCATTTGCCAAATCCAAATTTTTAAACATATAAGGACAAAGATAAAGTTATTCACAGAAATATCATGATGAAAAATCAACCACTTAAACCAAACCTTAGAATGAAAAATCCAATAAAATTGACTAAAACCAAATGCTTGACAATGAAGTCACTAAAGATAGATTCATAAACCAAAACCTGAAAACCTCTATGAATCGTTGACCTTATCTGCAAAGCAAGAAAGGAAGTAAAGAATATGCCTGTAGTTAATCTTGGGAAGTGCATGTAGCAGTGGCCAAAGCCACATAGCTGAGGTTGTCTTTTGTTTCTTTATGGGTTGTGCACAGGCTAATGAGGCTCATTAGGTATTCAAATAGCCTCACATGTCGAAGCATAGGTCGAAGTAATCAGTCCATGGGCTGCCTTGGGGCTGAGACAAATAAATGGGGTGCACTACTTTAAGGACGTGAAGGGGAAATCTACAATAACTGCTCTGATATATTTAAAAGGAACTGTCCTGTTCAAATGTATTGAAACTCTAATTTCTGACTCTGCTTCTCTTACTGTAGGACACATGGAGTGAAACCAACTGGAGATTGAAGTAGTTACAGGTTGCACCTGACACTAATCCTTCCGTACAGATTGCAGGCTACATTTACCAAATTGATATTAAAAAAGCAAAACAAAACATGAATGCTCTTTATTCAATGTTATTGATCAGGAAAAGGCAACTTTATCTCTGAATAGGCTAGCTACAGCTTTATTGTTTGCTTTTGCAGCTTCACGTGATTTTTCTATTCAGAAAAAACCATCTGTGGCTGCGCTTTGATACTGAATCAATCAATGCTGATCAATGATGTTAATTTTGAAGTATTTGAATTTGCTTCAACAAGTGCCGGCACATATTAGTCATTCAGTAAACTTATACTTACTCAAATTTTGACAGACAGTTTTCTCCGAGCTAGGCCTAGAACAATGAAATGTTGGACCGACGTCGGCAATCGTCGGAACTGTCACGTTCACTTACTACTGTTGGCAAACAGCCAACATTTTGAAGTCGACCTGGTAACGTTCAGTCATACCGACGTTGGTGATTGGTATGCATGACTTCAGGTTTTTGCTGTTGTGCTGATGTTGGTTAAGGCCCTGTCACACACTGACATTTTAGCCAGCGTCAGTGCCGACGTATGGAAAAATGGCGAATACGCTGGACTATCGATTTTTTTTTCAATTTTGGACATATACGTAGCGTATTCATAAAGAGTTGGACGTATACATAACTTATTAATAACTTACATAGAACGTTTCGATAACTTATAGATAACGTATATAGTGCCTACGGTAGCTTACTGAAACACGTCCAGTAAGTTCTGTGGTCGTCCGGAACATGTCAAATACGTCAATGTACCGGTCTGTCAATATGCCTTAGAGATAAGTTCGATATAAGTTACTCATAAGTTCCAAGCACGTTGCTCATACGCTAGAAAATAGGTTATAAAAAATAGGTAAGATAGACATTACCTCGATGTATTCCGACTTATGAGTAACTTACAAGTAACGTGTATGGACGTGTGTCAACGATCCCATAGCTTACCTAGAACTTATAGCTTGCCTATGCGGGACGTATGAGCCATACGCTGGCATACGTCGACAATTTTTCGACGACCTCGCCATACTACGACGCATATCAGCATGTTTTGAACTTTAACAAAACTAACGCATACCTTATTTGACTATACGTGTGCTCCTTTGACAGCAAATGAATGTGTACAGTTAGGTGGGCCCAGACGATTTCCTACTTGGATGATAGTTCTGAAGTAGTCTAAACTTAAATACTAACCAACGTTATAATACTCCCATTCCATTTATTTTGCAGATTTTGCTGGGTATCCTGGGTTTATTCGTAAATATCCAAGGGTACCCAATGGTTGTGAATGTCAACAAAAAGACCCCAAGAAAGTGTACCGGTACCATGGCGAAGCATTTGTCCAAACGCGCGGACCTCTGTCCAACTGCACACTAGCAGACGTTGAGATGAGACCCGGTGTCGTCATGCTGTCCACGACAAACTTGGGCTTCATGGACGTAACTCTCAACATGCTGGAAAGCATCAAACGAATAGGAGTCTGTGTGAACACGACCATCATAGCAGAGGACCAGAAATGTTACCGGTATTTAAGTAAGAGAGCAAAGGCTGACCCAGCTGTACATGTGGTGTTGACCAACTCCGGAGAGTCCACGAGTAAGGAGATACTACGCACTCAACGCCGTCAGTACTACGCGCTTTTTAATAAGCGTCAGAAGTACGTCTTGGAATTACTTGAGCAGGGATACGAAGTTTTGTTCAGCGACGCCGATACTTTCTGGTTCAGAGATCCTTTTCCCTACTTCAAAGGAGACTTCGATTTGTCTATGATTGATTCTAGATCCCCTTATCCTCTTCGGACTGACAAATCGAATCACTGTGCCGGTTTTGTTTATTTCAAACCTACAAATGTGTCACTTCAATTTGTTAAGGCATGGATCAAAGCTATGGCTGACAACGAGAAGTCTGGAAAGCTTGTGGCGGATCAGGGCGTAATGAACTTCCTACTTAACACTGATCAACCCGTGCACGTCAACATTCAGCCGCTTGACACCAATATTTTCCCATGGGGGCCCAAGTTCTACACGCTCTTGAAGAGAAAAGCCAACTACTCGACTGTTGTGATGCACGCCGCCAGCATACGCGGACACGCTGCAAAAGTGGAAAAGTTTAAGAGCTCGAACATGTGGTTGGTGGGCAACATAACAGTGAGTGAGGAGTGACAGTTTGAATATAGGGAAACAGGTCCATGGATCAACGTAATCAGCAATGTGTCCGGGCCTTTGAGAGCGGCAGTTACGGACAATCGTATACAGTCATAATCTTTTATATTGAAAACATCACGTGATGGTTTTTTTATCAGTTGCACCCCTTACCTTCACACGGTTCTGTTTTTCGCTTTCAATGTCGACATTGGGTAACAATCTAAAACTGCAATAGATTGTTGGGAAGACATCCAGTTCAAGGAAAATATTGGTTTTCACCAGATATATTCCAAATATGTTTATCATTTTCAAATTTGCTCCTAGGGCGATTTTGACAACCGAACGCAACGCGTCGTGTGCTATTAATGGGGTAGATTTTTGTGTCCGTGAAATTGAAATCCATGGACACGTGTACGCAACACACCCCAAAAACGTATTATGTGGAAAGGCACCTTTTGGATGGTGCACGTGCATCAGTTTAACCGCAATTGGATTTATCCTTCTGGGAACGTGCTGAGGTGTAAGACCGAGGTTGCAAAGACCCTCTTAACCCTGGCCCTTATGTGGTAAATTTCATACTTACTGAAAGCAGTAAATTTGTTATTAAAACATAAATGTAACCTTTTTTTTTAGAGTTTAAGGGTGCCTATTTTAAATTTCTCGTGCTAAGTTAAAGACCTACTTGCACCATTAGTTTTGATTTTTTTTTTAAATCGAAAACAGCGTATAGTGACCCCCATGCATATTTTTAGCCAATGTGTGTTGCCATTCGGACCAATCCTCAATGATATTATTGTAACATTGAAATTTGTTATGATTTAGGAGATTTTAACAGGCGAAAAATGTGAATTGAAGGTGAAAGGAAAACAAACATACACTTTTTCACCAACTGAATTGAAATCCCCAGGCTCTTTGACCTCACATCCATGCGTTCACTCGTCACAAATCAGCTATACAGCGCAGGGCGCTGGGAAGGGCATATACATAAGGTATTTTTTGTCGAGAGCTCATTGGATGAAGTTCATTTTTACATCTGAACACGGGTGGACACTTCCTGTGCATGACACGTGTTCACTTAAGGATATTAGGGCACTAATAAGTAACCTAAAATGCTTTGAGCGTTCAAAGCTGTGAGGTATTTCATGCGTTGCGTTTGTAAAAGTACTGCTTTGGATCTCCATTTTCAGCACTTTAAAATAATAAATTTGGACTGATGAAAGTTGAAATGTAACTTTCAAGTCTGCTTGCTTCTGTTTGAGGCTTGGAAAATATAGGGAGGAATTAAAACTGTCTACCCCTCATGTGAATGTGGAAATTCACAACACAAAATAAGATTTCTTTTGTTTTCGTTTGTGTTGGAAGACAAGCTTTGTTGAAATGTGACATCCCCTTTTGTTCTGATTAGCAATCTAAAACCGGGATATCAATTTGATGTCCCGGCAAGATATTTTAACTCGCCGCGGTGAAATACACATTCAGTTATTTAACTCGCCATGGCGAGACAGTAACTCGAAAAAACTATTGGTATTTGGCCCTTATAATGGTAGCCTCCGCACAAAAGTGAGTCGGGGATTGTATAATGTAACAGTTTGCACCTGGCACTCAACAATAAGAATCGTTCTCACGAAGTTATGCACACAAAATCCAGCGTTTTTACGAACAGGCAAATGGGTTTGTTTACAAAATGAACAATTTTAATTGATTCCTTTAAATATGATTTTGTGGTTTTGGTGTCATCTAAGAACTGATCTTTTATGAGGTCTTTTTTGTAGTCAAGGAAAAGTCAAGTCTTGGAGAAATGATCGTTGCAAAAGAGACCACCTTTAAGTGCGGTTTTCTCGAAACCTGGATTTCACTTCACCGATAGACTTTTGTCTCTTCTTAAAAACGGTGATGATCCCATAAGATACATCCAGGGTATAAAAGCAATGCTTAGGACCCCCTATTACTCTTGAGTTAAGATAAAAACCGATATTGTGCCTCTGCTCGTGGGTTTCCTTTTTGGGACACTCTGTATACAGGAAATGCTGCAACCTGGAATCTGATTGCATAATTATATCCTAGCTCAGACAATGGCGGATGGGGGAGGTGAAAAGGGGACTGTGCCCTCCAGCATTTTCTATGTGTTTTGAACATGAAAATGATGAGGAATGCGATTTGGGGGCTATTCCATTTCCTTCAAAGAAGCATGCACTGAAGCAATTTCGTTTTGAACGGTCATAAGGCCATGGGATCATTAATTGTGCTGATGGACTGTGACATGGTAATGCATACCTGCCAACCTGTCGTACTCCTTCCTATCGTCAGGCGTCACCACATAATAGATTAGAATTTTAAATGGCTGAGGGCTCATTTAAATACCTTTTAATCTATTGTGTGGTAATGCCTGACCTCAGGAAGGAGTACGAAAGTTTGGCAGATTTCCCGACCTGATACTTACATTACCTCTTCTTCTATCCCCCCTCTGTTTCCGCTCATGCCAATAGCACCGTGATTTTGCCGACAAAACTGACTATGGGGGAGGGGTATACATCCCCCTAGCAGCGCCCGGCCGTGCACAAGGCTGCTACTCGAAATTACGAGTCCATCATTATAGTGGCTGTAGCAATTATATTAAGTCTTGTGTGATTTGCAGAAATCTTCAAAGTCCCCCTCCCCCATGGAACCCCGGAAATTTGATTCTGCACGGAACTGTTCTTGAGCTCAGACTGGTAGTATCTGAGCTGCTGATTTCAGCAGCCGGTTTACGCAATGGCGTAATATATAAATACAGCATGGTTTGAGGGAAAATAGTGTGAATTACTGGTCCTGAGGTGTAGGTCAGTTTGACTACCAAGCGGAGGGAGTCAAACCGCTTGGTAGTCAAACTGACCTACACCTCAGGACCAGTAATTCACACTATTTTCCCTCAAACCATGCTGTATTTGTTTTACTACACTTCATAAATATTCAAACAGAAAACTCACGTCACTTGTACTGACAGACGCCATTGTTGTTTCTCAGCTGCTAAATTTCCATGTAATGGCTGTTTTCCAATACTCGACTTGGGCTCTGTCTCAGGCTTCAACTGTTTTTTACTTCCTGACTTTGAGGTTATAAGCGCAATAGTAACTCTGATAGTGCCACAAAACATCAAGTAAGATGCAAAAGAGCCTGACATTACAGTACTTCAATTTAAGTTAAACGCTTCAGGCCCACAATTGGGGATTGGTTTCCTATACGAAGCCTGAGACGGAGACGAAGTTGAGTATTGGAAAACGGCCTATGATAGTGGAGCGCAGATGTGCAGAAAAGCAGGGCTTCAATAGTCTGGTGCTGACGTACGTTTTGGGTCTTAACTGTAATAGTTATCAAGATACAACTCCAGACTGGTTCCGTAAAGATTACATGACACAGACTACATTTTTGCGCGGCGGGTTCCAGACGGAATTTTTTTATGCTACCAGAAAAAAACTACCGGACGGCTTCGAGGTGGACACTCACCGTCATGACGTCACCAGTCGCGAATCACTTCTACTTCCCAGACGCGAGGTGGAGTCGGCCAGTGACGCGCTCCGATTTGCTCTTGTGGCGTGACAACTGACACCTTTTTGTGGC